TGGCCTTGTGTACTGGTTTCATTAGATCAGTTTAAAATTACACATTAATTTAACTGCTGCAACTTCTTTGCATAGACAAGATCTGAGGCTTTCCAGGGATGCTATTTCTGCACTTTTTCACTGGCACAAAAATTACTCTGAATTATAAATGGTAAAATAGTCATTCTCCAGAATAAGCAAAAATAATATTTGTTAATTATGATGCAGGACTTCTGGGGAACTATATTCTTCCATAGTCATGGGGGCTTTCCAAACTTATACCAGCTGAGGACCAACTCAGTCCTTCCCTTGGATGAGAACTCTTCTTTTTCAGAATCATTTATTAAAACAGCACAGTTGTTCCTATTCCATTTTGGTGTCTCTTTAGGGAAAAAGTCAGCATAGTGTAATGCAAGTGCTACCTCGTTTAATTTATACCTCAACATGACCTCACCCAACACACTCTCACAGCTACAGAATTGGAAATATGTGTATCAAATTTTGGGCAGCAAAGCCAAGCTATTTATATTAGTTCCTGCAGTAACTAAGTGATTTTTTGTTAGTTTGGGGTGGAGAGAGTACTTATACCATTTAATTGTTGGCATTTTCTGGACCTCTGCCTAATTTTACTTCAAAGATTCCCATCAGAAGCAGTTGGAATTCACTCCTGTACAAAGAGCTCATAGTGATAGATTTGCAAGAAGAATATATGTATTTTTGACAAATTTCTATTGACATGTGGAAACACTAAAAGGTGTTTCTTTAAAATAAGAGCCTATTATTCCCTCTGGTTATGAGGTTTTAATATAAAGCAAGACCAAAAACTGTAAACTTCATGCCATTAAAAGCTGCACATGCGGATGTTTTGCTACTAGCAATTAATTCTCTAAAAGGTGTCCCAAAATACGTCTTTAGACCAACGCGGCTACAACCTACGTCCCAAAGTATGACATTTAAAGTCCTCTGCTTAGACAAAACAAACAAATGTATTTTTTGTGTTAAAAAAATAAAACAGAAATTGAGGCGACATCAGTAGCTTATTAAAAATGTACCCAAGTAGTTACTAACTCACTTACACAAATACTTTCTACAAGGGAGAATAAACTATGTAGAGACTTTTCTAAGGAACACAAATAATGTAGTGGATAATGAAATCTACTTCATATGTGGCTTTGCTGAGCGTGTAGGACAGGGGCGGGCAATTATTTTGGGCAGAGGGCTGCTTACTGAGTTTCAGCAAGCCATTGAGGGCCACATGACAGGGAGCCCAGGGCAGATTAATATTAATTTTCTAAATTTTTTAGGGACCCCTTGGGCTGGATAGAATGGCTTGGCGGGCCAGATCTGGCCCCCGGGCCACATTTTGCCCACCCCTGGTGTAGGGTATACAAAAAATTAAGGACTATTTCCCCTCTCATTGAAAATAGGAGAAAAACAAGGGGTTGGGCAGTTACCCACTGATGACAGTTTGATCACTGCCGTACAAATAGAGATACACGTACAATGCACCTGCTCTAAAAGGATCAGAAGTCACTAGAACTATATTTTATGCGGCGATGCTTAGCTGAGCACCATCTTACTACTCTGCTTTCCCCAATGTTTCATTCAGAGAAGCCAGCAACTTTATTAGACAAATTCAGTGTCAACATTTTGGTGGAGCCTAGCTAAACTCTGAATGAAACCCCCCCCCGATCTGAACTTTAGCAATGTTTTGATATTGTCACTGGTTTTATCTTTAGGAAGAGCTGAACAAAAATCCTGGATCTTAAAAGAGGCAGGCATTGGAGAATTAAAATGCAGAGTAAAAATGAGGGGTTTTTAAATTGCTTGTGCTTGTGGAATAAACAAGCTCAAGCTCTCCATCTGGTATGGAAAACTGCACACTTTAAAATGATTCATCAGTGCTCAAAGAGCTTTAATGTGTGAAGATTGCAAATGACACTTCCTAGGGAAAGAAATGTACAGCCCAGAAAAACTCTCAAATCTATTTAATGCACACAGCATTCTTGCCCTAGAGCAAAGGAGCAACTCTGACAAAATTCAGGTGCATTCAGTAAGCCTATGGGTGAACACTGACATGCAAAGATACATGTAGGCGATGTATGCAAAGGTTTGGTGGGTGATCCTCATTGCTCTGAAACTTTGACACGGGAAAATCAAAAGATCAAAGCTGAAAATAAGTCTTTGTGGTTCATAGACTGAGATGATCATGTATCGAAACAGAGTTCATAATTTACAGTAATAAAGGCCATGTTCACAACTAGTCTGGAGCTAGTTATAGGTGAAGTTATTTGCAGCTTCCTTGACGGGACTAGACAAGATTTCCTGCACCGGGATTTCCAAAGAGAGGGCAGCCATGTGGACAGGACCTATCTGACACAGATGAAAACAGGCTGTGTTAGACTACCTCATGCACATCTCTTAGACAGTTGTATATTAAAGATCAACTCCTCCATAGAGATTCTTATTTTGCCTGCTGTTTATAGGGCTTTGGTTTAACTTCATTAGAGGCTGCTACTTTGGGGTGCCTATACACATGCTCCAACACAGTTTATGCATTGCGGCAGACTCGATTAATCTAATTAGAAGGCTCTAGCATTGCTGTAGCGTCACGTGTATAACGCCCTGCAGGTTTAAAAATGGCTGCTAGGGCACTTTAACTAAAGCTTGTTGAATGAGCTTTAGTTAAACCACCCTGCAGCCATTTTTAAATGCACGGGGGCTTAATTCACATGACACTGTGGCGTTCTTTGGGAAAGCTCTCGTTAAAACACCCCTCCCCCTGCCAGCATGTGCAGAGGCACCCTTGGTTTCCTGTCTGCTGATGTGGTTTTGTTTTTTCCATTTCACTGACTTCTCTTTCACTTCCCTTTTGCTGCTTGTTCCATAAGCAAGACATAACTGCCTTTACCTACACGAGGCAGACAAGGTTCCTTGGGTGAATTAGATATCTTTTATTAGACCAACCCAAATGGTTGGAGAATAGTTATTAAACAAGCTTTCGGGTTCAAAAACCCTTCGTCAGGCTAAGGAAGTTTCAGCAGTTGGTGTGTGCTTTTCCTTTACCTACACGAATCCTTTATTGCTTGCAGGATCTGATGCCCTTTTGGAACGTGGACCTGTCAGTGAAGCCTATTCCACTTCACTGCCCACACTTCCAAAATATCCTACCTGTACTCACATCATCCAGGCTGCCTTCTTTTCAGCACACCTGACTGTGTTGCTACAGTAGGGCTGACTGTCTGACCTTTCCGTGGCACACATCCATTAACCCAATTTTTGCAGCCTGCCATCTGCTCTTTAGCTGATATTCCCAGAGATTGTCTTCATCTCTTTTCTATCTATCTCCACCTTTCACTTATCCATCTCTTCATGATGCAAGAGATTCATTTCTCCAAGAGGCCGAGAGAAAATATGAAATGAGAATTTTATTAGGTCCATTCCCTAGTGTCAACCATGGTGACTCAAGCTGTATTCTCAGAGTAATCAGGCCAGAGTGATGGCAATCAGTTGAAAAGAGCCTTCAAGAAATAAAATTCAGGTGGCCACAAGCAATTCAGTAGGTGGAGTTCACAGAAGTTTAGGGCTGGGAGGGACCTCGTGAGACCATCAGGTCCAGGTTCTTCCTTTTAAGGAAATACTGAAGAAATTATACATTGCACAACTCCTGTATTTACAACTCCTGACCACAAGTATTTGAATGTAAAAATCCCCTTGAATGTACACTGTAAGGTGCACAATTACCAGCTGTTCTAAGTTTCAATTTGAGCAATAATTTATTAATAAACTCCAAACTTTACTTGAGTTCCGCCTGGTATTTATTTAAGTTCGATGTGGTATTCTTTTCCTGCCATGAACATCCATGCACAGAGTGTTACACCACATTAATTGGCCACCATACTTTGCTCCAAAGGTAGCTACAAACAAATGTGCTGCTATTAATGTCAGGCTTGCCCTTAACTACTCTCCAAATCAGCCATGTGGTAAACCTTGACTTTTAATAGCAGCCTGTGAACGCGTGGTTTTCTCTCACGCCTTACACTCCGTAAAGGTCTTTGAAACCCTTTTATTGAACTATTCATCAATTATTTGCAGGTGAAGAATAAGTAGAATAAAGAGAATGGGAAAGTTAGTTCCTACAAATACCGCTGTTCACAGGAGCGAGTGAAGCTGTTGTGTCCATCCCAGTACAAAGGGAAGCAGATTTGTGCATGTGCAAAGTTAAGTAAAAGAGAGCTCTTCACAGTAAGTCTAGTGGACTTGCAATTGAGACAGCCAAGCTCTGGCCCTATTTCTGACCTTCTGTGGGACCTAGATTGAGTCACTTGAACTTCACTTTCCCTGGTTTAGACTAAATTCTTCAGGATAGGGATTGTCTCTTAATAGGGTTTTGTACAGAACCTAGGACATAGGTCTCCAGGTACTACTTTAATATAAGTAAAATGCACATAAAGTCCCTAAAGCATCATTACTTTCCTCACAAGAACAATGGGCAAAAAAAGAGGGGTGGTCAGAGAAAGGGTACGTTAGAGGAGAGTCCATCCTTGTGTCGCTAACATAGGGCTCTCTCTCAGGTCTTATTTCTGTTGCAAGGGGGGAGGAATTTGGTGAGAGCTTTAATGCATGGCCATTTGAACTGGAATCAGGTTCCCCTTGTATGTCATGCTCATTGTTCTTTTTTACCTGGAATGGATATACACACTGTGTATTCACCAAGGGGTTTGAATTACAGGGGGGCTGAGCCCCACCATAAGAGACAAGAGCCCCCCTGTAAGATTTGAAAATCATAACCTGGAGGGGTCCCCCAATTTTATTAGGGCATCATGATGGGCAGCTCCATTTTTTATGCAGACCCCCCAAGAATCAAAGTGTAATTCAACCCTGGAAGACCTGACCATCTCACCCCAGTCTCTCTCCTTTGGACTCGTCCAAAAACAACATGAAGATAGAAGACAATCTAAAACCGGGTATTTAGTTGTGTTATGGGCTTTTATTTAAAAAGCACATTTATACAGCAATAATTTCGCAGATACAAACTTTAATTTTGTATTCTACAAAAGTCTTTGAATATTCTTCTCTTTACAAAATGAAACATTACAAAAATACAGACAATTTAATATGATTTTTTATACAAATGTCTCTAATTGTAGTTATTTTCATTAAAATATTACTACCACAGAACTACAATATTTTAGTCGACTATAAAAAAATTAATTCAATGCTTTTTTAAGCAGCAAAATGTAAATAACACAGGTCAGGACACAGTTTATAATCATAGTGGATATATCTAAAAATTGTTTCAGAAATAATATTTTACATAGTTAATTTTTAATGTTTTATACATTATTTATATAATATTTATATATAAAAATCATAGCTTGCTATAGTTGAAATGATAGGACGGATTCTGTAAGAGAGGATGTGCAAATGGCCATTCTGCGTAGTATGCGTGATCCCTTTTCAGTGAAGGCCTTGAAAAGTTTTTAACCTTCATCTTAAACGTTTAGCTTTAATTCCCATCAGAAAGCCAAAGAACTAGGGTTGCGGGGTAAAATCCCACTCTCATGTACACCTTATTGATTTACCACTGTGTAGCGGAAGACAGAATTTGGCCTATTGAATGGCTTATACCATGGCACTACCCACAGGCATTGAGGGGAATGCACAAACTGACTGAAATCCAGGCTGGGACGTTCCGCCCAGCAGCCCGTCCCAAAACTGCAGAACCAATGTTCCCTGGGACTCAATCCCAAGTACATAGTGCTAACATATCTTCAATAAGTCCAACCACTAACATTTTACATGACATGAACTCCCAAGGGTGGCAGCAATAATAGCAAAGAAAATTCTGCTGCAACTTGTAGGGGTGAAGGGAAACGAAGGAAGTTGGGTTTTTTTGTTTTATTAGACCATTTGTTGCTTTTGTGTGTGCTTGATGCCTCATACAGTTAGCCTGTCACGGGGGATACGATAGAAATGAAGAGATTTGGGTTCTAACTGGATGATGGATTCATTCGCGTTCAATCTGTTGTGGAAATCTCTTATAGTGTTAACTCTTTTAAACTTGTATAGTGTGAGCAGACACCCTTCAGACACCTTTGCGAGGGCAAACTTCTAAACTAAGTCACAGTATGGAATAGAGTTGAGCAAACCAATATTAATGCGAAGAACAAAAGTAGCAACTCGTATAGACCAATCCCAAATCTTGAATCAGTGCTGTTTCTTGTACATAGTGCTATATCATTTTAGTTGTGAGTTTCTTGTTTTCTTACAGGCATTGGAAATATTCATAGTAAAAACGCTGGCCGGCTTCACATAATCATTTAGTGTTCATTACGCTATGAACAATTTGGTGTTCACTATAACATGAACACTCAACCAATTGCACATCCAGAACTCCGGCACCACTATTTCTTTCCTTTTTCACTGGTTTTTTTTTTTTTTTTTTTTTTTTTTTTTTTTTTTTTTTGAACAACACCTATTTCATGCAAATGTTGCAAGTGAAAAGGCCACAGAGTTAGACCTTACTGGTTGGGCAAGAAAGTCTCTCCCTACATTCTACTGTCTGATGAGATTTGAGAGCAGCAGGTAGTTGCTGTCAGCAGTCATTTTTGCAACAACAAAAAAAAAATTTAAAATAAAATTAAAATATAAAAAAGACCAGGTTTTTCAATGGCCTACACCATATTGTGGTGATTGTTCCGTTCAATGATGTCCACAGATGAAAGAATCTCCTTCCGCGTTGGAGGAGGAGGAGGCAGAGAAGTCTTCATCTTGGGCTTGAAGAGGTCCGAGACGTAAAACACCTGCAAGTACAATTTGAGAGATCAATGCCACTGCATGTGATGCTACGTATTCAAATACTATTTGGAGGCTGTTGATGACGGTGCCGTGTTTGTACTCAAAACAAATTCTCAGTGTTACCCAATAACTGAATATAGCCCAAAAGTGTGGGAGTCCCAGGATGCTAATCACAGCTTTGCCACCACTTCACTGTGAGGCTAGAGAGAAGGACTGTGAGTACCACGGTTCCCTCTGGGGCAGTGGGAATTGAGGGGACTTAGTACTTTGTGGGCTTAGGCCCTTGACAAATGTAAGCCTGGGCATCTACAATGCTTCTTTACCATCGGGGTGTTGTGACGTTAAATGATGACTATACGTACACACTACGAATAACATGATAATGCACAACTACATTACAAGCCTGGAAGCCCAGAAAGGAAATAATAAAAAAAATGAAAGTAAAACCTAAATCCATTAAACCCCCTCCACCACATAGACAAAGCTACATCTTCACACAACTCATCCCATTGATTTAAAACACGTCAGAGCAGCTCAACCAGACAGACTTCTGATGTGCAACTACGCAGTCCTAAAATTAAAACTGCTATAAAAAATGGATTATCCGTAATGAGTCAGGGGTGCTTGGCAAGCTCCACTTTTCCCTTTTTGCCCTGACACATCGGTTACAAGACGAAGGTTTGGTCAGGGTGACTGTCTGACTAGCTGTCAGAGCTGCCTGGATGGAAGGAGGAGATATTTCTGACTACATTTTCCTGAACACCCAATGACGTAACCACTCTTCCTGATGTGAAAAGGCCAGTGCTTGACAATTTGGAGGGGCAGTAACACAATAAGAAACAAAGTGCTGGGAGGAAGCCTTCACATCCTCCCTTGGCAGCCATGGCCAACCCTTATCAGTCCAGCATGATTGTTGCACTTTCTCTGTTGCCAAACTTAACCCTGAAGCCAGAAGGGAAAAGACTCAGACAGCATAACTCCCTGCAGACAGTCGGAAGGACAGAGGACTCATCTCCGTTATCAAAAAAGAGACGGTTGGGAGAAACACAAATATACTACACACTGTATGCTGTGTATAGCAGAATAAACACTAACTTACTTCACAGACCTATAAATGTCAGGATTTTTCATCGGGCCGAAACTTATTTTGACATGACAACTGACGGCTGATCCTAGATGACACATCAAGCTTTGCTTTAGCCAAAGTGATGGGGAGAAAAACGCCTGGTATTTTCAAGATGTAGAAAGTCTCATGTGTTTCAGAGTACAACTCAACACCAAGCGTCTGGGATTAAGCTTCTCTTAATGGAAGGTTTCCCTTTAATTGTCCATGATGTGGTTTTTGATGAATTCAGTGCAGCTGCCTGATTGCAAGGCCTGCTGATCTGATCTTGTGCAATGATTGCGGTGTTGCTAAATCCGAGTCAAGCCTTAATGAGTGACACTTTTACAAATTATAAATGTATTTTGTATCTCCCTCTCCTGCCACAGTTGGAAGCACCATTTAAGTTATATGTTAACTGGGAATGGAATAGATACTTATGCGACTAAATAAGACAGTAAAGACTTCACCGGTTGAGGGGTTGACAAGTGACAAACGATAGAAAGACATTTTCCTCCCTACTCTGCTCCATAGAGCAAAGCTCTCCAGACTCCTGG